GAGAGGTAAAATCTCTGTTTTGCTGAAGTTGGGGAGCTCTGTAACAGACATCACTCTGGAGTTTTCTCAATGCATCTTGAGCAAAGTGATTCAAGTTATTTTAATTTGTTGGTCCAATATCTTGGATCAAGATCCTGAATGAAAAAATTTCTGCATGTTGAGGAAATTCAGGTCCTTTTTTTGTCACACCTACTTTACAGCTGGATCTAGTTTCCATATTTGTTCAAAATTAGTGTCTTTGCTATATATGTCTTATAAAAACATCCACCTTGGTAGCAGAATACTACTCTCCTGTTGCAGTCTTCACTGCATTGTTAGAGATAATGCAGTGCTTTACAGGATTATCAAAATGATCAGCCTGTAATGTTGTGACTAAATATATCTGTAATACTCAGTGTAATAAGGCTGCAGCATGACTAAAGTAAATCTCACTTTGGGTATCAGTTTTAAAAGAGAGTTTGAGTTCTGTTACAAAACACACAATTGTCTAAGTATTTAATTTATTCTCAGGAACAGTAAATTAATTTAGTATTTGAATGAATGTCAGGAAGGTTTTKCTTCGTTGCCTTTTCTCTTTCTCTTTAAAAAATATCCAAGAGTTTGTGGCACATTTTTTGGCAGAGGGCACTGTCAATAATATTACCATGTGTCTTGGGTTTGGCATGATTTTACTTTTTGTTTTGTGGCCTTCTCCTTGACAAGGTCACACAAATTCCAGCAGGTAGTGGRTAGTGCAATTTTCAGAGCAGGTCTTATCCAACTACTGATGTCTTTGCTTTCAGTGAAAAGCATTCATTTAAGTTACCTCTTCATGCCTCCCTGCCCCTGATCTCGCTATAGTTAACGTGGAGTGGATAAACCTCTCAGAATTTCTATTTGCCTGAAGAAAATGTTAACTTTTCTCACAACATTATTTTTCCTCTTCTCAAATGTTTCTTCGTTTTTTATTTATTTTGTGGTACACACTGTGTTAGATATTGAAGTCCTTGGGAATGAATCTCCATGCAGCAGCCCARCTGAGAAGAAGGAAAACCAGGTGGCACCAGTGGGATTAGAGATCTGAGTGGGCAGGATTTCCATCACTGAAAATCATTTTAGGATGTGGAGATGGAAATTATAAATTTTATTTGGACATCTGTTTACAGCTAARAAAGACAGCACTACCTGTACTGTGATGTATGAATGTGATATCTCAAGGAGTGGAATGAAGCGGAAGCACCAGCTCCGCATGTGGGATTTTGTGGGCAATGGGAGGCTGATGGAGACCCCACTGGTTGTGTGTCCATGCTGCCTCTGCTGCACCCTGACCTGGTCAGGGAGCCCTGCTGGAAGGTGGACCCCCTCCTGCRCACTCCTTGCAGGGAATTTCACAAGACCGGTGCTTCACTGACTGTTTTAAACTGCARGAGGGAGAGCGCCTCACTGGAAGGCTGTAATACCACTGCTAGGACAGGCCAAAAATGGGTGTGTATATGTGCAAATATTTTCCCCAAAGATTTCATTTTTGCTAAACAATAAAAAACAAATTGATTTTGCTTCAAAGCTTTGCTGAATTTGTGGGCTTTCTTTCAAGAGGAAAGGATGTGTTTGGGTGGGGACTCRTTTAATCTTTTTTCAAACTGTAAAGTACTATGCAACCAAGCCCTGCCGTTTGTGAAGTAGTTTCACACTGAAAATAACCAGTCAGCACTGATTGGTAGYGTTGAGTCAGGTTCTGGTCTTTGTAGAAACAGTGTGCACCATTGCRTATGTCTAGGCTGAGCCCAGACTGAAAGACCTTTCCAAGTCCTGGTGTTGACCAGGCTCTCTGGAATCAGTAGATAGGCTCAGGCTGTCTGTGCTATTAGACCTCAAGACCGCTGATGAAGAAACCAAGAAAGATGAGTGAAGGATCTGGCTCACAGTTAGACCAGCGCCTGCTATCAGGATGGGAGCAGGACAAGTGGTGCTGTGGTTGAGCCCTTCTGCCTCCAACCAATTCCCTGCTTTTCCCAGCACCTCCCAGAGGAGCGGTTCACAGATTGCAGCCACTGGTTTTCTGGAGGGGCCTGCAGTGTCTATACAGACTCGAAGCTAAACCACACTTCATGCTTGCTCGTGGGGAACGCCCGTTGTCAACAATGGGTYGTTGTCACAGTCTAGACAATACTGGTGTCATGATGAGAAACAAGCGCCTCGCTGTGTGTGCCATGGTATATGCCACCGASAGAAAGCACTTGGTTTGTTCCAGTAAAGCTCTGATTCAAAGGATATTGCAGAAATGACTATTCCGCATTAAAAAAAAATATAGATATATATATATATATATATATATATATATATAAAAAAAAAAAAAAAAAAAGAAAAAAATATATATATATATATATATGGGCTGTTCTGTTTTTGAAAACTTACACATTTTTTTCCTCTATTAAATTGCTTCCTGGTGATGGAAATGTCTGGGATTTTTTTTTTTTTTCCTACTGCATCTACTTTCCTTTAGCTAGCACACCCCTGAGGTAATTAGTGTAGGTTAAAATTTACATAACTGACTTTGGGGTTTTGCAAATAGGAAAGATGGAAATTTATTCAAGGTGGTGAATAATTCATTTTAAAGCAAGTTTCCTGTTTTTTTTTTAATCATGTAGAAGATGTATTACAGACTCATAGAGGTTTTCTGAATAGGACCTTAAGCACTGCATTTTTGATATATTTTTTTTCTTAGAATAGGTAAAGAAATATTAACCATGACTCATTGCACTTTTCCTGTTCAATAAGATTTGAATAAACTTAACAAATTTATTAGGTAGATGATAGAGCTTTTTAAAAATTATCATGACACACTGTGACAAATATTTTACTAGGATCCAGAAGAAATAGTTTTAAATCATATTCCCATTGCCACTTCAGAGGCAGAGATGGAAAACAGTGCAGTTCATACAGAGAAGTCTAATTCATATTTTCTTTTGAATATTCATTATTTAATTAAGATTAGGAAGATAAACAAGGGGATTGGACAGCTGTGGGAGCCTGGTAATAAAATAATTTTTTTTTWAAAAAAMCTTCTTTACTACTGGCTCAATGAAAGCCTGGAGTGGTAATGTCTGAATGTTGTTACAATATTATAGCTACTTGAYGTTTTTCATGAAGTGAGTTTACTATTTCATCTTATTTCTTAATCTAAGTGCCCACCTCAAAAATAGCTTTCACAGATATCACCAAGACYGTATCCAGGGGAAAAAATGAGAACCACGCACTACTTCAGCTTTCTGAACTTTAGCTTTAAATGCCTCAGCCCAAATCTTGAAAGCTCTTGGCATGTTCCCTGGTGGCTGCAGCCCGCTGGATGGACTGGTGGAAGTGGCACAAGGTGGGTCTGCCAGCCCTAACCAGACCAGCAGCAGCCCTGCTGGGGCAGAACTGCAGAGCAGAGCCAGCTCCCAGCCCTTCCTGAGGAAGTGGTGTAGGTGGTGATTTACCAGCCTGGGGAAAGAAAATCAGTGCCAGTGGGGATGGGAGAGAAACATGYGCCAGAAAGTCCTAGTAAATCTTAGCCAAAAGCTGTCCAGGAGCAGGAGGGTTTGGTTCTCACCAGTGGAGGAGCAGTGGTGGAGGCGGCATTGCCCATGACACAGTTGCTGTGTGGAGAACTGGAAGGTTTGGTTTTGAGCTAGGTTGGTCATGTCACCTTTGTAAACATGCATGTACAATGCTTGACCCGGAAGGATTATTGCATCTGCCTGAGGATCTCTGCTGGAACTGCCAACAAATYATGCTGCAGGGTGAAAAAAATGTCATTAAAAGCTATATGCAGAGGTTTAGTTTGTTTTGTCTGTTTTTACACTCCGACAACTTTCATTTTGGAAATAAGTAGGATGCTTTTCCTTAGCCTTAAACAGACACTTCCAAGCTTCCTTGAAAAAAGCCAGAAATTTGTCAAAAATTTGTCAACAAAGTTTASAGATTTTGAAGAAAGAAGAGATTTTAACAGCCAGATATGGAGTTCCCAATGGGGAATTTTTCTCCATTGACTATTGCATYGTCTCCCTATCAAAAGTATTTTTTGCCTTTGAGGCTTGATGAGAGTAGAAGTGGAGCATAATTTCACACTGTTTAGATGACAGCACAGGGTACACAGTAGAAAGCCTTCTGTACTGGTAGTGTTGTACTCACATTTCATGTCAGTCTYAGGGACACCAGTAGAAGATCCAGACATGAGAAATACCCTTGAATATTCAGCAAGATCTCTGAAYAGTGCAGGTCAGGGGGAAGAATTTTGTTTTCATGAGTGTACAGCCCTCAGCAGTTATTGTTATGAGGTTTTGCACAGAGAACACAGCCTAATAGATGCTGATGGAAAGACTTTTTCAGCTTGCTGGGCAAGGGAAAAATAACTTCAGGCCCTCCAGCTTCATGCTGGAGAGCTGCAGAACTGTTGGGAGAGAGGATTGTTCATGTGAGTTAGCCTCCTACACACTGTAACCTCCAAAAATGCCAGTCCTTCTCACCAAAAATTTTAAAATATTTKTGGTGTGACAAGAAAGATAACAATATTTGGAGCAGATTTAAAGCAARGCTTTAAGATGTGAGCCCTCTGGTCTATGCCTAACTGCTTTGTGTGTTATTTTTTTTGTTGTATGTACGACACACTTGCACATGCATAAACATATGGATGCTAATGTATGGCTATGTGATTAGGTCTTGCAATAATTAGGACTGTAAGATATTACCATGAACAAATACACATTGTACCAAAAAAGCTTTTAAAACACGATGAGAGCTCACTTTCTCTTGGAAACAATGCAGTAAACAAGGAAAAACACACAGAAAAATGTTATGGAAGAAAAAAATGAAATAATGTAATGGTGGTTAAAATTCCTCTTCTGAAAAGCTTCTACCAGGAGACCTAAGGCAAACCTTTGGAAAATTGCACACTTATGGCTTTATTTGYATGTTCTTTCTGTACACTTGGAAATAACGTCTTATTTTTATCTTTTTCTTCTTGGCATGTGGGACTCAAGCACCACAAGGGAGCTTCTCACCACAAGAAACAAAAGTGGAGAGCCAGGATTCATGAACTCTTTCAAAGGTATGTCAGATAAGGGCTACTTTGTACTTCCATCTAATGTGCTTTCTCTCTTAAGATCTTTCAGTGCATTACAGATATTAATGAATGGAACTTCTCTTTAACAAAGGACCTCAGCCCTAGAAAAATTAAGCCTGTGCATTTGAAAGGGGTCTCTGTTTTGGATTACCTCTGTTTTCAGATACCCAGCTTGGGCTGTTAAGTTTTAAGTGCTACACACAGYGCACTTCAAAAGGTGACCAAATGGCTTCTCCCAGCATCCTTCATCCTTGCCTCTGAGTTACCCTTAGAGGGTGAAGGAAATATGAATTGGAGCAGAGTTTTTGTGATCAAGCTGTGCATGACCTTCAGATAAATACATGTATCAAATTACCTGTAAAGAAATGAATGGAGGAAATAAATAACCCTCAGAATAGAGCAAAGGAAGCCATGTTCTGCTGTGACAGCTGATGAGCATGCTGGTGAGCACAAAAGAGGCCTAACTTCATTGAATTAATGATTCTCTTCAATCTAATACCCAGCAAAATGTGGGAAAGGAGAAAAATGGTGCAACTAGAACGAGATCAAATGCGGTTATTTAAATGTTTGATGTTCAGTAATGAAAACTGTTTACCTTCATAATTGTGYATTAGCAGCTAATAAAGGCAATAGATACAGTAGTTTAAAAGTAATAAAATCAACAACAAAGTGTATTTAATTTTAAATTGAATTGCCAGCAAATGGGTGTCCTAATGAAACCCTGTGTCAATGCAACTCTAACCAAATTAAGTGCAATAATTTCCATCATGAGAAGCTAAGTAAGTACAAAGTTCCAAGCAACTTCTCTCCTTGAGAGAAAGGCTTTAACTTCTTAGATGTTTCATWTCAATTAGCTAATGCCATTCAAGAACCATCTTCTGTTACTTCTGTTTGGGATAGGTGGACYGAAGTTGACTCCACTGAAACTCAGAGATAAAACTTCAAAGATGGTTGACCCTGTGCTTCAGGTGTTCACTGCTTAGTGCTTGAATCTTGTCCTTATTTCTCACYGGTCCTGGCTTGGCCAAAATTTCCATGTACTTCATTGCCACTAGCATCCAAGAGATCTTCCAACTGATTCAGTTCTTGCTTAGGCATTTACATGATACAYGTTTACTGCAGAAGAGTCTGGAAAACAGTTTAGTTGTGCACTAGTGGTAATTTTACTGATATAAATGTGTGCATATTAAAAAAAAAAAGAAAATGAAAAAAAACACCAGAGGTCTGAATAGAAACTGATTTTTAGCAATATGACAAGATCTTGGAGGTAGAGGCATGTGTTTCAGAAGAGGGGAATTTGAACCTAAGTAGCACATGTGCATGAGTCTGGGATGTTTAGCATGATTGCAGAGTCTCGTGATTTTCTTGATTAAGAACCATGTTAATCTTTACAAATGTGGAGACATCTCAAATAATCACCTAGCATGCAAAGGAGGAAAATGGGAATGAAGACACTGGTGATGAATTTTTCAAAAGCAAGTTAGAAAATACTGAAGGAATGCTTCAGAAGTGCAGCCCAGTCCAGAGAAATGTTGTTGGTTCTGAATCTCAATTCTTCTCTTTCAATTTTTTTTTTTTTTTTAATGATCACCAAATGATAGCATTTTCCTTTGTGGCTAAAAACTTAACAGAGTACATTGCTTGTACATGACAGCCTGTTCTCTGATGCCTATGTTGTCAACACCCAAGCTAATCCTGCATTGCAACTGTAACTGGTGCAGTGATTTTTCCTTGGCTCTATGTGATTCCTCTCAGTAAGCTSCAGGCAGTGCCCCTGACCTCCAGAGTGGCTCTGGGCTGGCCCTGAGCCATGAACAGCCCGCTCAGCCTCCAGGTTCTGAGAGCCACCACGTCTTTCTCTGTGCTTGCCCCAGGTCCACCTGCAAGTGTGGCTGGAGAATTTCCAGCACTGGTGTGACCGACTGACCCTCCCTGGCCTCCTAAAGCATGTTGTGGAAGCAAGAGCTGCCGTGTTTCAAAGCCAGAAGAGCATCCACAGATGTTTTTACTTAGGGTCAATGATATTTAGATGCGGGTGCCACTTAGAAACAGAGGAATTACTCATGGTTCTGTGTCTGTTGAAAGATGGGATGGGATGGGATTGCCACAGAATGCAGCTTTACAGTGCTCATTGTAAACCACTTAATTTTGCRTTTGCTCCTGCTGTGTTCTTGCAATGAGGTTTTCTCCATAGGGTACTGTTCCTTTTGTGTGTCCTGTGCACTGGGCAGGGCAGCACTGGGTTATCCAGTGTTGGGCTGTTCTTGCACTATTTGCTGGTATTCTGTGCTGCTGTAGTGGCCTTCCCTCAAAAACAAAAACAGTCAGGAACTGAGTTGAAATAATTACTCCCCAAATCACTTTAAATACAAAAGAAGTTACCATGTAAGTAACAAGGAAGTTTCAGTGGTTCSCGTACACTTGAAAATTTGTGTATGTGCATGTGTCTAATATATATYTCTAGCTTTTGTCCTACATGTATTTCTGAAGATTTATAAATTATGTATGATTTACATAAAAAAATATCATAAAAAAATCAAACAAAAAAAGTAAGATTTAAAAAACAGATACAACTTTTTCAGTGATTTAGAGCAGCCTAGTCCCCAAAAAATCAGTCGTTTCCAAAAACCTGTTCAAGTTTATTGAAGCTGTCAATAATCCTCAAAGTGTTGACAGAGGCAATGGCYTGCTCTTTTAATATTTTTAACCTGAATCTTGAGCCCCAATACCAGGCAGAGCTGATTACAGACTGGCAGTGAAACTTCTGGCTCCTTATGTCAACCTGTGGCACAGACTGCCAAATATTGGTCTTGTTTGTTTTTTTTTTTTATTTTATTTTTATTGTTATGCTGCTTTTTGAAGTCTAGCCATATCTCTGCTTTAGCACAGAGCTGTTTCTCTTGAGTGCCCTGCAAGCCTTATGATGTGTTCAAGGAAAACACCAAACCGTTGTATTTCCAACAGCAAGTGCTTTCTCTGTATGCACTGTAGTTCATTTCTTTTCCATTCTTCTTCCCATTACAATTTCTGCAGAGTGGGAAGTCAGCTGCTGAAAGCAGAGGAGAGTGGAAATGAAGAAGGAATGGCAGCCAGCTCTGGTAACCTTGCAGATGTGAACACTGGATTAAATGGAGCAGCAGGACCTTGYGGGAAGGTGGGATTCTCCAGGAGTGCTCTTTTCCCTGATGTGAACTGATAAATCACTGGATCAGTTACATTCCATTATTATTTCTTTTTTTTTGTGTTTTGTTTTGCTTTCTTCTTTTCATAGTTTAAGAGGATAGAATTTAGCAGGTTTCAAAATATGCTTTCCAGCAAAAGTAACCATATGCTTAAAGAGAATGTCTAAAGCTATTAATGATGAMTCATTTGGGCATGGCAAGAGTTCTTCAAAACAGCGCTTGTCAGTGCTGGCCGAGCAAAGTCTTTCAGCAGGAGACGAGACAGCTATGCCACCATGCAAATGAGACAGGCTTGAAATATGATGAATCTTCTATCTCCTTTTCCTACTCAACTGACACTCGCTTTGAGGAAGGTTGTAAATGCAAGAGAGATTGTGGTATAATTCCTCAGACTGGCGTTTCTGCCCCCCAGTCACTATTCGATTATCTTCCAAATTGCTGTGTTTCAGAGAGATAAAGATTTTTTATGGCTTGCTGACTTGAAACAACCAGAAGAGCCAGAAAAGAGATGGCTAACCGGCCATGCATAGTAATTCCATTGGTAAATGACAAAATCTTTGTTTGTATGACATTTCCAAAATTACTACTGAAGATGAATCTAAAATACAAAATGTCACATTTGGCATGCAAAACTATCACAATATATTTCAGTATAAAATTCATAGAGGCGTTTAATTTAGAATGTGTTTAATAACGAAGGCTGCCTGCATCAGTAATCCTGCCTTGAGGTTTAAAAAGATTGTCTTATTTATTCATATAATGTTAATTTTTTTTACATATGATTCAGAAACCAAAAATATTAAGGTTAAATCTTTATTGTTAATTAAGATTTTCTAATTAAGCTGAAAATAATTGTCATTCAGATTAGTTGTTAAGTATGGCTTGTGTTGAGAAACAAAAGAAGTTTAACAAATTCAACTGTTTATTTAACTGCTTAATTTAATTCCAGAAGCTTTCTATCTATATGGAAATATGCTATCTCTTCCAAAATAAATCCAASACAGGATTAAAGAAGAGATTATTAGCTACTGCAGGCTTAAACTGTGAGACCACTAAACCTAGTAGTCAAGGTAGCCATGCAATTCCAAAGTGTGGCATGAGTTCTGGTATCCAGTTGCACTAAAAGAAGATCCAGCACTAATATTTTCTGAAAATAATGATTTCTTGGGGAAAAGAGAAACAACATTTCTGATTTAAACACTAAGTAATTAGTTATGGCAGAAACAGCTTTATCCTTTCAAGTCAGCACTGGAGCGTAACTGGGACTCCCAGTTGTGCACCTGACCCTGCAGGTTGCATTTGGGCAGCGCGCAAAGTTTCTGCTGGTGCAGTGGGACAGACCCTGTGCCAATATTCAGGCAAAGGTGGGTAAAAAACATGCCATTKTGCCTGTTCCCCTCCACAAACCTTCACGCTGAGAAGCTGAGCACACAAGGAAAGCACCAGAACAGCATTTCTGGTACACAGCATGTATTCCATCTTAAACATTCTGTAACTCAGACAACATCTTGTCAACAGCAAGCAGCAGATGTTTCCTTTTGTCTGGACTTGGAATAAAGGTGCCTGTGGGGAGTTGTTATTAAACTCTACACGTGTTGCACTTTGATTACTATTTTTAAGAGAATCTGATTATATGATAATCAGAAGGTGAAAGGATAGTCTGTGTGTTACACAGCACTAATAGCTTTGGTGAGGCTAATAATTAATATAAAAACGTGGCCTTCCCTGTCTTTCACACTATGCCTGCAGCCTGCTCATCACATCATGTATTGTGCCTGTCTCGCAAACCATGCTGTATTTTTGAAGGTACTGTTTTCCAGTTAATTCTGCCTCATTATTGTAGAGTAGTGTCTTCTGGTGTCATACTTCACCAGCTTCCCCTTCCCCCCAAGGATGCCGAACATTTTATTAGTAGTATTTGTATTGTTTTTTTCTTTTATCTGTCATCTCTGTGACTTTTGACCTCCCTAATTGCAGATACTTGGTAAGYAGTAGGTAATTGCAGGTTGAACAAGAAGCATGTTGTCTGCTTCTCRGTAGTTATTTTCTGGAAGAAATTTGTCCTTGCTAATTGTATGGTTGAATCAGCCCAGCCCAGGTCAGTAACTCCGAGCCTTCTCCCTAGGATGACTGCTCCATGATGCCGCAGCCAATAGAAATCCAACTCAAATGCCTGAGGGGAGTCAAAGATAAAGTCTCTAAAGGCCTCTACACTCTCAAAGTTTCTGTTCTGAGCCGCTTAGGTGGTGCCTTGCTGGAGTGGCCTGAACTGGAGAAGCAGCCTCAGGCTGGGACGACGCAGGCTGTTAGTCACGGTGGAAACTTCTACAACRCTGAAATCTACTTTGGGCAAAGTATCCAGACAGTAAGCAACACTTCATAAATTTGCTGTCTTTGCTTTGAAAGTTAAAACACATCCGCYCTTTCTCCTTTAGGCTTATATATTTAATGCATTCCGTCACGTTAATAATTTATTTAATAATTTGAGGTGCAATTTAGGAAGGTGAAATCTTTTTCCCCCTAGGTAAACCCTCATCACTTTCTTTGAAAGTGCCAAACATCCGCTACATGATACAGCATTGTCAGCTAATTTTAAATTTTRGTTTTATTCTCTCTTATCTATGCATCTTGTCAGCTATATAATTTGATTTCTGTAAAGTAGCTTTGGAATAAAAAATGAACGAGTGGGTGTTTATAAACACATGAATGCCCAAATCCTTCTGTGAGTTTTTAGCTCCATTGACCCCCATTTGCCAAAAAAGCAGCATTTGGATTATTTTGGAAGGAGCCCAAACACTTGAGGCTCTGTTCTGTCTTTTGCGACTGAGGCACACATATTTTCCTGCCTAAGCATGCTGTGTGTGGCAGGGTTGTTGTGTGTCAGTTGCTCACTGTTGTAGCTAATGCCTAGTGCTGGTTGGAACACTGGTCTCAGATAAACTCTCTGGCACATGAAGGCTTCTTTACAGTTTGAAAAACAATCTTCATCTCTCTCAGTGTGGGAGGGTTTTTTTTTTTGGTTGGTTGTTTTTTGTTTGGTTGGGGTTTTTTTTTTTTGGGGTGATGGTAGGTTTTGGYGCCTGTTATGAGGCATTGGTAGAATGAGGAGCCTTTTCCATTTTCAGTCATTTACTTTGTGTTATGGCCTGAGTGGTAGATTTCCTCCTCCACGTCTTCTGTTGTGTAGATATGGAGCAGACAGTCCCTATCCCAAAGATAGTAACTAACTTTCAGTAAAGCAACTTCTGTGTGTGGCACTGAGCTTTCAGTTACTTGCAGGTAGGTAATTTCAGATGTTGGGTTTGTCATATGTAAAGTGCTGCCAGGTCACATTTTCTGCTTTTTAATTGTTTGTCACCTGTGATGATAATTAACTGTCTGTAAATACAGCTATCGATGTGAAAGCAATTTCATATATAGAGAGGAAAACTTCAAATGTGACTTTCAAATGATGTAAACCAAATACATGCAACTCTCAGAGAGATCATTGAGCTGTGATTCCTTCCTWGGCAGGATGCATGCATCCTGGTCACTTGCCTTGGAGATGAAGTATTGTCTGGAAAGGAGAAGACTGGACACTTGGACTGAATGATTCTAGCATGCCCTGCTTCTTATACTCAGTATCACATTTCTCCTCAATCTTTGCAGCTTTTTGCATTTTCAAGTTTGCTCCAAAGTTCTTTTGGGGCTTCACTGGGGACATTTAATTAGMATCTTCACCAAACTTTATTTTTAATGTACGTCTTGGGTAACTTCCCTTAAAATACAGGACCAGGAGAAGTTGGATTAGATGACTTTCTGGTAATTCCCTATCTTCAGTACTGTGAGATGTACAGCCAAAGCCTGATGTCTTAATTTTGGAGAACCCTCTCCACCAACTAATTTTGGAGACACAGGATTTACTTTACTCTAGATGGGTCTGCCTTTCTGTTCTTCCACATGGCATTGGAGCACAACCTTAAGATATGTTTGAAAAGAAACCTTCAGGGTGTGTGCTGAGTGAGATATGAGGCGAGTTTTAGGCTTCAGGTGGTTAGCATCTACCCCAAAACCTAGGGTAAGTAGTGAGGTCCTATTGGTGAGCTCCACATGAGCACATGAGAACTTACACATGGCACTGCTGCCCTGGGATATATTATGGGGTGGAAATAGAAGTGCTCACAAATGAAGAATATGCTTTTGTTTCCACTGGCTGGAATAATAATAGGAGTTCAGTGTAAACATGATGAAAATGAAGACATGCATGCTTGATATTGAAGGAAAGCCTAATTTTAACTAATATATTAGAGAAATTGTTCCAGAACACTACGTCCTTCCAAAAATAATAACCCTGTCATGTCGGCAAAGTTGGTGTCAGCGTGGGTTACCTGCTGCGTACAGAAAGTGCTGGTCATGTAAGTTAGATCTGCCTCAGGGCTAGTCTGACTTGCACACCCGACCTTTCAAAAATGTTTTTTGTTCATTAATCAATGTTCTTTGCTCCAGTTTGCCAGCTTCCCCTCTTTCCGCTCCTTCATTGTCCTCCTTTTTAGTTTGTCAACCTACCTCCCCCAATAACCTCTGACTGCATACTAGACAGAGGCTCCTAATAGCTCCAGTTGAATTTTATTTATCCTTCAGTAAGGCCAGACAGTTACACAAGTAATTTATTTTCCTTAAATTATGCTGAAAGAAATATGTATGTATGCTTTGGATTGTGGTAAAACACGATTGCTGTTTCAAATGTCGTTTTACAATTTTAGGAATAGCAATGAACAGCATGATCTGAAGGGAACTTGTTTTAGGCTCAACATTTTTAGGATATTTTCATATATTTAGTTTTTGCTTTGATAGATTAAGGCTGTATGGTTTAGGCAAAGTGAGACCTATTTTGAAGTTTCACCTACATTATAAAACAAACTCAATGTGTACTTGAAATTAAAAAATTGTGTAGAGGTTAACTGGTGCAGAAGAAGCTTYGTTCTTAAACCTTCAGTGTATTTTTGCATTGCCAGGTTTTTTTCAGGTCTGGAATGAAAGTTGAGTAAGGAGAGGATAGGAAAGGAGGTGAGATGCTTATTGTGCATAGAGTAAGGCAGTTGGGCAACTGGATGGTCCTTGCAGCGCCTGAACAGATGTGACTGCATCATCTTTACACTAGAACAAGGATTTTGCAACTTCCTTATTGCTATCCCATGATGGCTAAGATCCTACTATAGACAAGACTTAAGCAGTCAGTAAATATTTTTTGACCACAGTGTATTTAAAGCAGTATTTTACTCCACAGGATTATGTCCCAGTGTTAGCAAGTCCTGATTACATTTATCATCTTTATGATGAGTTGGAGAAATAAGTTACAATATGCAGCAGTTTAGTTTCACTCAGAAAAAAAAAAGTGTTTGGGTTGTTTATTTGGTTATTTTTTTTAATGATTTAAAAATTTTTGGTTTNNTTTTTTTTTTTTTTTTTTTTTGCCTGTTTTTCTAAAGTTAATTCAGTAGACATTAAAATAATTGCATGAAACAATTACAACAATAAGATCAAACCCTCACTTTTCCAAATCAAAATACTCATTGGCTTCAATGGTATAGAAGTTCGAGAGTGGTAAAAATACTTGTTTTAAAAAAAATATTTTCAGCTGTAGTTTCAGTTATCAGAACCAAAGTATTTTTTTGAAAATTGCCAAGGAAGGAACCTTTAAGGAACGTGTACCTATTTCAAGTATTTGAAATTTCTGAAACACTTTTCTAGAAAAAAATATTGTCTGTTGGGAAGATAGTTTTTGCTCAAAATGGGAAGTTCAGTTAGAAACTTTGCAGATATTGTGAAGGGCTCTGCAAGCCAATGAGGCTGCCTGCCAGTGGCACTTTAAAAACATCAATTACACTGTCCAGTCATCTGGGAAGTCAGTCCAGCGCTGTCAAACAGAAACAGGGACGGACAATTGTGTCAGTGCTGAGCTCCCCAAACTGGTTTTAAACCCCAGTCCTGCTGCATCCATTTGGCATCAATCCTTATTCTGTGAGAGCCTTTCAAACCTGGTACCTCAGCAGAAGAGGTGTGAGCTCCACACATGTGTAAGCACTGATGCCACACATTTTTCCCAGCGTACCTGGAAACTTGGGGTAGTACTAAATCTGTTCATTTGCATGAAAAGATACCATTGCTGACAGAATAGTTCACAGAACTGAGGATTGTTAAAGAGTATATCAACTGGTTAATATTTATGTACAAGCGTGGAGAGGTACTAGCAATATTATAACAGTAGCTGGGTACCATTTTGTTTTACTTGAGGGAAATTCAATATGAATAAAACAGCAACTTTTCAAACATGACATTTAATCCACTCATGTAAATCATACCAGGAGATCTATTATTCATTATTAAAAGGGCACCATATTTTTATTATACTGAAAATGAAACACAAATGCTATGAAAAATTTAGTGCCTTTTCCTGAAGTTTCAGGACACTTATCATGCAGTCATCTAGCAGGGGCTGACACTCATTTTAAAATATAGCTACAAAATTAATAAATTTGAACTCTTTTGCTTTGAAAAAAAGAGGATATTCTATTTCACTGAATGAGGGATTTATTATTTATTTAAGGCTTCCTAAATACTTCAGATGGCAAAGTACTTTTGYAATGTTCACATTTAGATAGCTAGTGAATAAAGTTCATATCTTTGTTGTTATTAGTCATTTCCAGCATTTTTTTTTCCCTGAAGTGCATTTTGAAAACTACATATATCAGAAACTGATTAACATGACCTAAGGTATTAATTCTTAAAATATGATGAAACAAACAGTTTTCCGGACATTATTTTCTGTGTGTCAGCAGCTGTCCAAAGACTGTGATGTTTTTAATAATTACAAAACAAGGTATCATTAGGAAAACTAGACTGCAAACTTCCCTCACCCCCTCCTCCTCCCCTTCTGGTTTATTTTATTCTTCAGTGAAATGCTGGCATAAATGAAGAACATATAGCTCTAGGACACTTTATAGGACATAATATAAGGGTTTGATACAATATGAAAAAAAAGATAGTGCTTGGCAGTGCCAGAGGACTTTCAAAATGAGAGCCACTTAAATTTTCCTGGATGTAATTATTTGTAGTTGCAATGAAAAGGTGCTACGTGAACCTTTTGGTAAATTCAAGAACTAAACTTATACAAATGCTTCTATTTATTTGAAGACTGCACTTCTGACTTTTTCACAGAGAAGGAATACATAATTTTTACTGCTTTGGTTTTGTTTKTCTGGGGTTTGTTGGTCTTTGATTGCCATTTCTAGATGTCTCTGCAACAGCTCCTCAAAATGTATGTTCCCAGAGCAATTCTTACAAAGCTATTACATATTCGAATCTATTGCATCTACCTTACTTAGC